GAAAACGTCTTGTGGACAGATGAGACCAAGATAGAGCTTTTCGGTAAAGCACATCATTCTACTGTTTACCGCCGGAATGAGGCCTACAAAGAACAAAACACAGTACCTACGGTAAAATATGGTGGAGGTTCAATGATGTTTTGGGGTTGTTTTGCTGCCTCTGGCACTGGGTGCCTTGACTGTGTGCAAGGCATCATGAAATCTGAGGATTACCAAAGGATTTTGGGTCGCACTGTAGGGCCCAGTGTCAGAAAGCTGGGTTTGCGTCCAAGATCCTGGGTCTTCCAGTGCAATGACCCCAAACATACGTCAAAAAGCACTGGATGGCAAAGAAGCGCTGGAGAGTTCTGAAGTGGCCAGCAATGAGCCCAGATCTAAATCCCATTGAACACCTGTGGAGAGATCTTAAAATTGCTGTTGGGAAAAGGTGTCCTTCCAATAAGAGAGACCTGGAGCTGTTTGCAAAGGAAGAGTGGTCCAAAATTCCGGGTGAGAGGTGTCAGAAGCTTATTGATGGTTATAGGAAGCGACTGATTTCAGTTATGTTTTCCAAAGGGTGTGCAACCAAATATTAAGTTAAGGGTGCCAATACCCCAGCCCAGGGGTTTTGTGTGACATTATGTCATATTTGCTTTTCTGCCTCTGTTTTATATTTGTTCCAATACATACAAAGGGAATCGCATGTGTATAGCAAAACATGTGTTAATGCAATACCTTTTTTGTGTGAAATACTTGATTTTCAGGAAAAATATCAAAACAATTTCGGCCATGACTGTATATATATATATATATATATATGTGTGTATGTATGTATATATATATATATATATATATATATATATATATATATGCGTGATTTTTGATAGGGGGCATACGCGCCGTACCCACGCCACCATTCACAGCCATGGCTGTCATTCACTGGGTCCCGGCCAATGATTACTCACCGGCTTCCAGTGATTGCCGAGGATCTCCAACGGGAGGGAGAACTGTATGTAAACAGTACAGTTCTCCTCCCTGCCAGCTCCTGCACACTGCTTTGCATGGCTGTGCACAGAACAGTGAAGCACACAGACACAGCCCCATAGTAAAACACTCCCAGCACATAGTTAACCCTTTGATCGCCCCACATGCTAACCCTTTCCTGCCCAGTGCAATTAGCATAGTGTCAGTGCTTTTTATTAGCACTGATCGCTGTATTGGTGTCACTGGGGATGTCAGTGACACCAAGTCAGTTCCCCCCAGTGTCAGAATGCCGGCACATTCCCGCTATAAGTCGCAGATCGGTGCCATTACTAGTAAAAATAAAAAATAATAATCCCAGGTGTATATATATATATATTTGTAAACGCTATAACTTTCACGTAAACCAATTAATTTACACGTATTGGGATCCTTTTTAGCAAAGATATGTAGCAGAATACAGTTTGGTTTTGATTTTTAACATTTTTTTTTACTGGACATGTTTAACCACTTGCCTACCAGGCACTTATACCCCCTCCTTACCAGGCCAATTTTCAGCTTTCAGCGCTGCCGCACTTTGATTGACAATTGCGCGGTCATGCAACATTGTACCCATATGAAATTTTGATAATTTTTTTCTCACAAATAGAGCTTTCTTTTGGTGGTATTTAATCGCCACTAGGCGCTTTACTTTTTGCGCTATAAATTAAAAAAGTGCAAAAAATTTGAAAAAAAAAAAAAGTTTCTTTGTTTCTATTATAAAATTTTTCAAACAGGTAATTTTTCTCCTTTACTGATGTGCGTTGATGAGGCAGCACTGATGGGCACTGATAGGCGGCACTGATAGGCAGCACTAAAGGGCACTGATAGGCAGTACTAATGAGGTGGCACGGATAGGCGGCACTGATAGGCAGCACTAATGAGGTGTCACGGATAGGCGGCACTAATATGCAGCACTGATAGGCGGCACTGATAGGTGACACTGATGATGGGTACTGATAGATGGCACTGACTGGCATCACTGCTGGGCACTGACTGGCGGCACTGACTGGCACAACCGCTGGGCACTGACTGGTGGCACTGACTGGCAGCACTGCTGGGCTGCACTGGTGGGTGGCACTGGTGGGCAGCACTGGTGGGTGGGCACAGGTGGGTGGCACTGGTGGGCACAGGTGGGTGGCACTGGTGGGCACAGGTGGGTGGGCACAGGTGGGTGGCACTGCTGGGCACAGGTAGGTGGCACTTTTGGGCACAGGTGTGTGACACTGCAGAGTGGCACAGGTGGGTGCACTGCTGGGCACAGGTGGGTGCACTGCTGGGCACAGGTGGGCGGAGCTAGTGGGCGCACTGCTGGGCACAGGTGGGGGAACTTGTGGGTGGCACTGCTGGGCACCGATCATCAGGGCACTGATCATCAGTGCCCTGATGATCGGTGCCGATCCTCGCTCTGACAACTGCCGGTTCTCGGCAGTACTTTCCTCACGATCTGACAGCGTGAGGAAAGTGCAGCCGAGAACCGGCACTTGCATTTACCTGTGATCAGCGTGTCATTGGACACCGCTGATCACGTGGTAAAAGGCCGGTATGATTGGCCTTTTACCACATCTCGTGATCAGCTGTGTCCGTAGGACACAGCGATCACGGAGATCTCCGGGTGCGAGAGCGCGTTCTGGGCGGACGTCATATAACGTCCACCCAGAACTGGCCGGCCGCAGTGAAGCCGTCATTCGGCTATCTGTGGTCGGCAACTAGTTAATAGCAAAAAGTCAAAAAATATTGTTTTTTTCTCAAAATTGTTGGTCTTTTTTTTTATAGTGCAAAAAATAAAGATTGCACAGGCAATCACATACCACCAAAAGAAAGCTCTATTTGTGGGGAAAAAAGGACATACATTTCATTTGGGTGCAGCGATGCTGACCGCGCAATTGTCAGTTAAATTAATGTAGCACAGCAACACAAAAAATGGCCTGGTCAGGAAAGAGGGGTAAATCCTCTGGAGAGCAAGTGGTTAAAAACACACACACACACACACACACACACACACACACACACACACACACACACACACACACACACACACACACACACACACACACACACACACACACACACACACACACACACACACACACACACACACACACACACACACACACACACACACACACACACACACACACACACACACACACACACACACACACACACACACACACACACACACACTTTATTATGAAACTTTATGCCTCAATACACCCATTTACTTCATGCCATTCGTTTGCAATTTGCACAAAATGCAGCGGATGATCAGATAAAAGTAAACTCCAGACATACTGATAAATACATGGCTATTTATTTGGGAAACATCTTACCTGCTAGATTTTTAATTATTTTCATTCAGTCCTGATGCCTCTGACAAGCAGTGTAATCAGGTCACTGGCTTTGCTTTAGCTTTTTGCTTTTTGCAGTTGAGCAACACAGGTTAGATCCCCAGCAAACTGACTGTACATTGAAGAAGCATCACTACACTGATGATGTCTTCATTCTTGCTGTCTCCGATGTCAATAAGCTCCATGTTTTAGAATGACAGAACTGTGCTATACAGCAGAGAAAGTGGCTCAAAGTGCTGCCCTTTACAAGTTGGCCCTAGTATGTGTATCTATGTACATATGCAAGTGAGATATGGACTTTAGTTTATATTATGCCTATAATAAACAAACAAGTTAGATATTATTAGATTCGCTAATGTACAAATATGAACAATTAGAAATACAACATAGAAATTACTGTATATATGAAAGTCCTCCACAAACCACTGGCTATGGTGAAAACTCATCCAGATCTCTGGTGAAAGTGGGCTGTTCCTGTGGTAGATCCTGGAAAGTCTTGTTTTAACAAGACTCTCACAAATCCCAGTGGAGAATTATTCTGTGTTTAAGGACCCGGTGGAGATTAGAGGCCCTCTTTAAAGTCCTTATAATCTTAGCAGGCCCCTACATGCAGCCTGCGGTTAGTTCTTTGACAGTCTACCAGACCACTGCTGTTGCATTACCAGAGATCCTAGCTCCATTCTTGCAGAAGTCCACAGTCAGTTAGACCATTTGCCTTGGTCTTCTACTACTGCGGAAATGGCTCGGCTGACACACTTCATCACATATCCAGGATGAGTCTTCTCTCCATCCAAATGCAAATTCCTGTTTGGTATTTCCTTGGATAAGTACATCCAAGAGATTACAGGGGGTAGGAATACGCTCCTCCCTCAGAGGTCCACAGTCAGTTACGCCATTTGCTTTGGTCTTCTGCTACTCTGAGAATGGCTCGGCTGACACACTTCATCACATATCCAGGATGAGTCTTCTTTCCATCCAAATGCAAATGCCTGTTTGGTATCTTCTTGGATAAATACATCCAAGAGATTACAGGGGGTAGGCATACTCTCCTCCCCCAGAGTTATGAACAAGAACAGGTTCACTTTAAGTCTGAGGTCATGAGCACTGTTCTGTTGGCAACATTATTTTTGTGCTCTTAAACGCATGATGTTCAGTTGATAATGATTGCAATTTTAAATGTATTATGCCTAAAGAATATGTAAACCCAACATTTCTTATTCCTGATATGTGCCTGCTGTACCATATACATGTATGAAAAAGTATTCTGTTTTTCTTGTATTGCTTCCTTTGTGTGAAATCCCTGATGTTCCTGCCAGTCCTTCTGCTTTCCTGTTAAAAACTGACCACAGTAGGCATGGGAGCAGTGTGGTCAGTTTTCTAGGTGTGCTGAGAACTCAGCCTGCTCTCTATCAATGATCAGACTAGCACAGCTATTCCCTGGGAAGATCAGTGTATGCTGTTTATCCTCACTGAGCTCTTACGTAGATACAGAGTATGTGATGACTTATAAAAAAGGAAAAAAAGGTATTTATAATGTTATTTATATGTATACATAAAATGTTTTGCCTTTCATTCTTTCATTTCTATTTTAAACTGAATGTATTGTTTTGCAAGGTGAGGGTTTACTTATACTTTAAATAATATATGCAGGTGCAACATGTGTACTGAGGAAGAAGTTTTCTGCAAGCCAGTTTTGGATTGACTGCAAAAAGTACAATGTTACCGTGTTCCAGTACATTGGTGAACTGTGCCGCTACTTATGTAAACAGCCTGTGGTAAGTTGAAATATGCATGTGTACAGCTACAAAAATAGAACAAAGTTACATTTAGTAATGATATACTCTATTAAGAAATGAACTTAAAGGATAAATTCACCTTTTGACAAAAAAATAATAAATGCACTTTTTTTTTGCAAGTTAAAAATGTGCATTTATTATTTTTTGTTGCAGGAGCCTGTATATCATTGCACTACCAAACAGCAGATTGCTGGTGCCATGCAGGTCTCCTGCAGACCTGTCAGTATAGCTACTTGCCTGTACAGGATGCACAGGCAAGCATATACACTGACAGAAGAATCAATAAACCACTAGGACGCTCCTCAGTGCCGTGGTAGTTCTTTGAGAACTATGAGCTGACAGCCATTAAAGCTGTTGGGACTTGTAGTTCATTCATTCACAGAACACTGTGAATTAATGGTGTGGCCATGTGGGCAGAGCCCCGCATGACTGCGCTGTTTTTAAAAAGTGACAGTTGGTACGGGGAACTTTTCCGCGTACTGCTTTCACAGGGAGGGGGAGATTTGGGCAGCGGCTGCAGCATTGGAAACATGTTACAGGTTTCACCTTAAAAATGGATGGAACATGTAACATATTCCCAAAGGCGAACTTATCTTTTAAGAAATGTATGTTTCTGCCTTAGGACCCATTCACACCTGAGCAGTATGTAGCTCGATGCACCAAAGCTCTTTTTGTGACAGAGTTGGGCATTTTTGAGCCACACAGACTTGAATGAGAACGTTTGAAAACTTGCAAATCAATTGTTTTCATGTGTTTTTCAGGCTCTTTTTAGCTTACAAAAACTGGTCTCCTACCACTGGCTAAAACAAAAATGCCTGCAGCTGGAATACACGTGTAAAAGGCTTGAAATGTGCTTCTAAAATGCTTCTATACAAGTGCAAAACCACTAACAAAAGTGAGTTTGACACGATAATAATACACTTAAAAAACACAAAAACATGCAATGTCGAAGTATTATCAAAAGGACAATACTTCAGGCATTCATGCAAATGTCTGAACAATTTAGTCCAGACCTAGGTTTGAACCGAACCATCAGCTCATCCCTAATCAACAGCACTGAATTGCTACAAAGGATGAAAAAAGTGAAAACAAGTACACACCATGGCAATTATTTACGATTTACATCTACCTTAACCACTTGCCCGCCTCCCCATAGCAGATGTACTGCTGCAGGGCGGCTTCACTGGGCAAAATCATATAAATACATGTGAATTTGCATTTCCGTGTAGGGGGCACGAATGAATGCCACCCTACCCGAGCTGCTATTGGGGTCCTGACCAACGATTTTTGGCCGGGACTCGGTGATCGTCGGCGAACCTGGGAGGGCAGACATCTGTGTGTAAACAACACAGATCGCTCTCTTGTCAGCATGGACGTGCTGTTTTCTATCTCTCTGCACAGCAGAGATATAGAGAGCAGCAGCTCTGCTTAGTAAAACAGTATATAATAAAAAAAAACACCTTCCTGCCCAGTGTCATTAGTACAGTGTCGGTGCTTTTTATTGCACTGATCACTTTATTAGTGTCACTGGAGATGTCAGTGGCAGCTGGTCAGTACCCACCCAGTGTCAGAATGCCCGCCGCAGTCCTGTAGTCCCACCATAAGTCGCTGATCGACACCATTACAAAAAATAAATAAATAAAAGTTCCAGTATATATACCACCATTTGTAGACGCTATAACTTTCACGGAAACCAATTAATATACACTTATTGGGATTTTTGTTTTAGCAAAGCCATGTAGCAGAATACATTTTGGTCTAAATGTATGATGAAATTTTTTTTTTACATTTTTTATTGGATATGTTTTATAGCAAAAAGTCAAAAATACAGTTTTTTTTTTTTCAATATTGTCAGTTTTTTTTTTGTTTATAGCGCAAAAAATAAAAAATGCAGAGATGATCAAATACCACCGAAAGAAATCTCTATTTGTGGAAAAAAAAAATGACATAAATTTTATTGATATACAGCGTTGCATGACCACACAATTGTCAGTTAAAGTAACGCAGTGCGGAATCGTAAAAAAATGGCCTGGTCAGGAAGGGGGGTAAATCTTCTGGTGGGTGGTTGAGCACTGGGAGTGAGGATAACACACCCATCCTGGTGTTCATTCAACCATGAGCTATTTGAGAGTTTAAGAAGGTAAAGTAAAAAAAATCAGAAAAAGAATACTCTGCGCCACAGTGTAAAACCTACAAATTAAAATGTATATACATTAAAAACAAACAGGAAAAAAAGGGGGCGCTATATAAGAAAGTGCTTGTGCTTATACCCAATGCAATGTGTTATAAGCCAGTAATAATAGTGCAAATATTCACATAAAAATATGTAAACAAGTCCAAGCTAAAAAAAAGTCCAAGTATTTATATTGCAAATATGTGTGCAAATCAATACATGCTTTGATCATGTAAAAACAGTCCCCAGTGGAATGTAAGTGTGGACAGTTTTTGGCCAACCAAAGCTCGCTGATCTTCAAACTCTTCAAATGACTTTTCTCCACCACAAACAAAACAGTGCAAATGCACCCAGTGTGATCTATCGATTAATCACTCACAGTAGCCAGACCACTATGACGTCCTTTGACGTCTTTGATATAAAAAGGTCGCTCAGCACTTGTTTTTGATATCCGTTGAAGCCCAAGGGAGTATGGTATCCATGTCATGATGTTACTCCACCCACTCCATCATTCCTCCACAGAAAGCCAAAGGCAAAACACTAATGTGGTATAGTATTTTATTTAATTAAAAGTACCTAAAACATATAGGATAAAATGCTCACATTTCCATAATCTGGCACAAAACAACCTGCCTGTGTGTAGCATTTGCCCTGAAGCTCCAATTGCCGTATGTTCCAGACTGGAAGTGGTGTAACCGGATGTCATGACTGAAAGTCCTGCCTCAACGCGTTTTATCAGTGTGACGTCATCAATCTTCCTTTTTTTGGCTCTTGTACACAAGCACCTAAAATGCCATTTTTTGTGCATGTATATCAGTAAACTAGAACAGCATTTATATAACTAGAAAAGCTACAATTTCTGGGGAAATTGTGTGAAGTGTTCTTGCCTCCACTCTGCTGCCTGCTCACACACCTGGGTTCCTATGGCAACTCACTCTACAGCAAGGGCAGAGAAGAGCAGTTAAAAACAAACTGCTCCAACTTGCTCACTTCACTGGCGGTTGCCATCTTCAAAGGTTGTAGTTTAAAAATTATAAATCCTACACCGAAGAGCTTTATATTGTGAGAATCACAAGACCTACATTTTGGTGCATAGTATGTCTCTGAAATACTAAAAATGAATGCACAGTCGCAGTTTAGAAATTGCCCTTCAAATTTGAGGTGGCTAGAGTGGAGTTTCAATGAATGTGAATGGGCGGCGTGAGTTGCAAACAAATGGTCATATTGTGAAAACTATCAGGACTATGGCTTAGCCATGGACATTTTTAGTGGCAGCAGGGATAGCTGAACGTTTTGATATAAGATTTGTGTAGGTGGGTTTGAAAATGAGGGAGTGGTGGCAGTTTAGAAATCATGCCCTGATTTTTCAGCTCACACTCTAGCTTTTGTCAGCTCCTACTCTAGTTTTGAACATTCCACCATTCATTCCTATGGGACCAATTTCACCACAAAAACGCCGATATTTCGTGAACCATTCGGCGAAACGTTCCACAAAGTAATAGCACACCAATCGGGAACAATCCACACGTTTCAGTATATTACTGTCTATGTAGTGTAAAAACTGTGGGAAGGAGTTAGGGTGGTAAATTTGGCCATAATAATAAGAATATATATGTGAGATAACAGTAAGTGGTCTTCCCATGCAAGAACACCTAAATATATATATTTAAAAAAGAAAAATTTTTTTCATTATATATATATATATATATATATATATATATATATATATATATATAAATCTGTGTTACCGGTCAGTATTTTATGCTCGTACATGCAAATACACACATGTATCACACCTCGCCTATATTATTTAGCATTGTGGGAGCTGCTAAAATTTTCCGAGTATAATTGTGCACACTATACAGATCATAATCACGTTTTTTGGACAGCAACTCACTGCCAGGAAGATTTGGCATTCATACATCAGTATCGTGTGCAAGGTCCCTTTAAGCCCACTTTTTAAGATGTAAGAAGACAAACAATTAATTTCTAATCAGTAGAATTAACCAACTACAAACCCCCCTAAAACTATTCAAATGATGTTGGTCAGAGTTCAGTTTTGAAGCTGAACTCTAGACAGATATAAAAAGTCACAAATGACTAATGCAGCTCTGTGATCATTAATCCATTCTTAAATGTATTTTTTTTTTTAAATTCGAGCAGTTACTTGAGTTTAACCTGTAGTGCCCATACAGCAAGGCTGGAGTGTGAGAGGAAGAAGGCAGTTAAAGGTGGCAATAAGTTCATGTGTTGACAAGGAGCCTGCTGATAGAAAGAAAAAGCAGTGAGACAAAGATGAGCTCATAATTGTGCCGACGATCTTTTCATTGTCCACTCACAGGCTTGGGTGGGTCCAGGGCAACCTTGGCTTAGAGGGAATTAATTGAAGAGTGTTGGCCATCAGACTGGGGAGATCTAGTGGCAGAAAACGTCATGAGAGAGAGAGAGCTCTAGATTGAAGTATAATTTTGCTGCAAAAGTTGGTGTTGCGATATTATCTTTTAATGGGTTAATCATTTTTTTCTTGTTTTTATCTGGAGTTCTACATTAAGAGCTGGTCTCTTTCTTAATAAGACATAAGAGATGCCACCAAAAATCCTATGTCAATACTGATGGCTGATAGTGAGTGTTTGCACAGAGCTAGACAAACCCCTGCCCATCTCCCCTTCACACACACAACAGTACTCTAGCCTTGCCTTGGTTGAGTCCTTCATTGTGCCTCATACCTCTTTTACTTGAGGTTCATTTCAGGGGATCAAAGATGAAGTCAGTGCTTTAAGATAGGAGCAGTCACTTTAATGTTTCT